AAAAGATAGCATATTAAAAGATAGCGTATTTAAAATATAGATAGTATATTAGAAAGATAGTTCAAAGATAATATGTAAAGAGAACATAAAAGATAGTATATAGATAGAATAGAAAGTAGCATAAAAATTGTATATATAGAGAGCGGAATTCAAAGTAATATTCCTTAGTTCTCATCCACAGAACTCAATAAAAATATAAGTTTTATTTTTTAATTATTTGTTAGTAAAGTTTAATGTTAATTAAAGGTAATAGGTTCGCCCTAAACTTTAATTAATGTTTGCTTAATTAATTTTAATTGAATAAATGGAAATTTTAAGATGAATTAAATATACACTTTTGGAAAGTAATAATTCGTAGCGAGAGCTATCGAAGTTTGAAATTAAAGGTAAAAGTGGATATAATTTGGGGAAAATTTAGAGAAGTTAAATTTTATTTTATATCGTTCGACGTTTTATATTACTAACGCTATTTATGTCATGAACCAAGAATGTTGTTGTATGTTGTTCGTTGATTATGTTGTTTGTTAATTATGTCGTTGATTATTTGCTTGTTCGTTTAATTGTTCATTCGTTCGTTTATTCGTTCGTTCGACCATAGGAATGCCCGTTCGATGTGGCAACTCTGTAAATTGATGACAGAGGGAATAGGGGGATCTCAGCATGATTTACACCATTCAAAATGTAAATACTTTCCACATCTTTCACATATCATAGTCACAAAAATATGGTTTATACTATTTTAAAATTTTTCAATGTTTACAAAAATGAAAATTTCGGAACGTCAACATTAAAGTTCCTTATCTTTTTAATTGATTTGAAAACTGCGTTTCATACATTGTTTAACAAATAACTATCTCTGTGCCATTGGTGTAGCGCTACAAGTCCCTATCTGATTTGCATTGTGCAACAATTAAATATTGTTGTACATCAATCATCATTGGCGTAACACTGTTGTGACGATTAATTTCATTAATGAAAATGTTATTTATCCAATTTATAATCAGTGTGTACAACTGTACATCAGGATTTTATAAAGTTGTTTAATTAATTTTATTATATTCAATTAATTTTTATAAAAATAATATTCATTTGTATTTTATCAAAAGTTTTAAAAAGTGATAAAAAAATTTGAATAAAATTATAATTAATGTTTTTTTACAATTATAAAATTACATATAATTTTCATTTTTTTTATTTTAAGTGTAACTGACCAAAAATGACGCAGAAGTATTATGCAATTTAATATGGTTAGCCGAGTTGGACTAAACTATCAGCCATGAAAAATCAAGCATGGATTGACAAATTGTTACACTGTGCCTGACATTTTACCTGTTTTAAGTTTGATGTTCATCTGTCCATGCTTGATATTTTATTTGTTCATGCATGCTTGATATTCATCTGTCATATACTTGATATTTTCATCTATCCATCATGCTTGATGCTTATCTATCACATGCTTGATATTTTAGCTGTTTGTGCTTGATGTTTTATCTGTTCATGCCTGATGTTTTTACAAACGGACCAAATATCAAGCATAACACATAAATATCAAGAACGAACAGTTAAAATATCAATCATATTGCAACGACAGCTTCTGCCACTCTGTCACCACAAGAATTTCGTCTCTCTCATAAAGTCATAAAATTTATAATTTAATAAAAGGTTTATTCTTTATTATGTAAAAATATGTCATTATAACACAGTTATTTATTAAATGTAAAATAATATAATCATAAAATTTCGTCAGAACATTATAAAATAATTATAATAATTAAAATGATAGTTTTTATTTAAAAGAATTAAAAGAATTTAAAAGGAACTAAAAGAAACGGAAAGGAACTTCCAAAGAAAAGGAACTGCTAATACTAAGTCAAAAAGTTGGGGTTTATATAATAATTTACATGTTGATCCTTCGATCAACGTAAATAATAATAAATTAATTGTAACTTATTACATCATTATTACTATTAGGATGATCTTCATTTCCGATCCAAATTACTTCAGACTATTAATGTATGTTACACAAAATATAGANTATTTAAATCAAAGTTAATTCTGGAATTATGGCACTACAAACTTTCCTCCCCCTTAAAATTTGTGTCCTCATAAATTTCCAAATTAAAATCTGTATTACAGGATCAAAATAAAACGCGTCCTATTAATTAATTATTCCTTCTACTAATTTTAGTAAATCGCGACATTTATTTCATACTAACTCCAATCCGTTATTCTACCCCTTAATTTTCCGTGTATTACTAAAAATAAATCTCTAATTTTAACAAATCGCGACATCAATGTTTCACCAAATTAATTTGTTTTTAACTCCTTAAATTAATTAACGTATAGTTCTTTGTTCTAAAAATAAATTTCTTTTTCTATAAATTTCCACGTGGGGTTTTCATCAAATCTTTTCGTGATAAGTTTGTTTTGTTTAATTTTAACGCATTCTTCAAGTCGCGTCTTTTTCTCTATATAAGACCTCACTTTTTCCTTTTCTTTTCTTTCCTCATTCATTCATTGTTATAAAACATTTTCCTTTACCCTTTAAAATATATATAATCTTTCGTCATGACTTCTCGCCGCTCAGTTTCTTCAAATAAGAAATCTCAACTTCGTTATAAAGCTCTCAAGGCTTCTCGCAAAACTGAAATAGCTCGACTTAAGGGTGGGTATCATACGCAAGGTCCTTAGGATGTCTCTTGAATGGGATTTAACTGTAGACGGGGTTTTTAAACTTAAGTTCCGGTTCTTGAATGGTTGATCTTTTGACCTGTAGACGGGGTTTCTATACTTCTAGGGCTAGTCTTGAATGCACTCTCCTGTAGAACTCCTTTGTACTATCGACTTTATTCACTTAGTTTTTTAACTAATAATGGTATGAATTTCTTCTTCTCTTTTTTCTTTCCTTCTAACAGAACAAACAGAATCTCTCCAACGAAAATTGGATAAAATGAAAGAGCGAAACGAATCTCTCTTTGAAAAGAATGTTCATTATTTGACTTCCGGTTGGAAGTTACAAGATCAAATTGAGGAAATGGAGGAAAAGGTTAATGCTCTTGAACAAGAGCAAGATAATTTCAAAGATACCATTTCAGAGCTTCGTTCTTTTAATCGAAATCTTGGTCGGCTGCTTCTCAGTCTCAAAGGTATATTATCTTATTTTTAATATTTAAGATTAAATTCCTAAAAATTATCATTTAATAATAAATTTTTTTTTTTTTTTTTTTTTTTTTTTTCAGAAGAAAACCTCGCTTTAAAGAAACTATTATAATTCTCTTCTTTTTCTTCTTGGGATTTTTAAAATTTCAATAAAATTTTATATTTTACTTTAACAATTGTGCTTTTACTTTTTATTTTGTAAATTAATTAAGATATTTATCTAAGTTCTCTCGTGAAATATCTCTTCAATAATTCTCCATTCGTAGGGTTTCTCAATATTTTTCCATCTAACTCTTTTAATTTATAAGATCCATTTAATAATATTTCATGTATTAAGTATAGTCCTGACCATTTATCGTCTAATTTATTTGATTTAGAATTTTGCTGTGCTGCGTTATATCTTAATACTTCGTCTCCTATTTTAAATTCTTCTTTCCTTTTACTTCTGCTATCATGATATTCTTTCTGTTTTACCTGAGATCTTAAAATTTCTTCTTTTGCTATATTTCTTTGAAAAGGTAGTCCTTCTATAATCTCATTTAGTCTCTCTGTGGTTTGGGTTTCTTCTTCAATGAAATTAGCTTTTCGTCCATATACTAAATAAAATGGTTTGGTTTTTGTAGAAGAGTGGGTTTTATTTCTATATGCAAATAATACTGATGGTATTTTATCGTCCCATTGTTTATCTTCTTGCAATTTAGCTAATGATTCGCATAACGTCTTATTAAATCTTTCTACTAATCCATTAGTTTGGGGATGATAACTTGTTGATAAATTATGTTTTATTTCAAACTTTTTAGTTAATAATTCTACCATCTTATTGTCAAAATGTTTGCCTCTATCACTAATTATTTTTCGTGGACAACCATGTCTACATATAATATCCTCATAAAGAAATTTAACTACTTCTTCAGCTGTATCTCTTTTAGTCGCTCTTGCTTCTGGCCATTTAGTAAAGTAATCCATTGCTACAATTATATATCGATTTCTCTTTTTAGTAGCAGGTAATGGTCCTACAAAATCAATTCCTATCTGATAAAATGGGGTTTTAACGCTAATTGGGCTTAATTCATTCTTCCCTTGGGGTTTATTTCTTCTTTGACATCTATCGCATGATTTAACATAATTTTCTATATCTTTCATCATTTTATTCCACCAATATTTTCCTCGTATTTTATCTTGTATTGCTTTTATTCCAAAATGTGCTGATAATTCATGATCGTGCATCATATATAATAGTCCTTCAACTTCATGTTTTTGTATTACTTTAAGTAATTTATCTTCTTTTATTCTATAGAGTTGGGCTTCTTTTAATTCAAATTTGGGGTTTTCATGAATATTTTTAACAATTTTATTATATTCGTCAGTTTCCATTTTTTATTATTTTTAAAATTTCATTATAGACAATTTTCCAACTTTTGTTATCGTTCTGGATTTTTACTGCTTTATATTTCTTTTTGTTGTCATATATTGTTTGATTTTGTTTGAACATCTTAACCATTTCCATATATTCGTTTTCTTTGAGTGTATTATATGATGCTTTATATCCTCCATTACTCTTTTTAGTTTCTCTTCCTATGTAATTTTTCCAACATGCGTTATTTTCTAAAAATATAACTGCTGCATTATCAATTATATTTTTGTATTTGAAAATTTCTTGTTCCATTTTAAAATTTCCAAAAGGTCTTATTATTCCTCTATCAAAACTACTTGTCTTTTGATAAAAATATTCGCAGTATGGGGATTTATCTACTATAATTATATCTTCATCAGTATACACAGGCAATCTCGATAAATCGGATCCTCGATAAACCGGATTTGGCACTATTTCGGATTTTTCTTCTGGAACCAAATCATCTATATTAAAACAGTCTTGATATATCGGACTTTATTAGTAAAATCTCGATATTTCGTAAATCGGATTT